GAGATGAGGGCACCAAGGTCAAAAGGGATGGGAAAAATGCAGATTCCGCATTAAATCCCACTGAGACGGTCATAGAAAAGGAAATTATTCATTTCTACTCCTGGATGGAAGAAATTGCTTGAAGTAGTAGAAGCAGTTTAGAACAAATTCATTAAACAGTTGTGCTCAGCATCAGGGCTGTGAAGGAAGCGATAGGGAACCCAGGACTGAAGGGAAATAGCAAGGGACTATTAATAACAAGAAGGATCAATGGGATGAACGTGCCGTGGAGTGTTTGATGCATTACCATGTCAAACAGTAGCCACAACATCACAGTAATCTCATAAAGTGCTGGAGTCTGGGGTATTCCAGGGGAATCCTCCCAAACCTCTTCCCCACTGTTCATGAAAGTTCAGGACATGAGTTAAACATATTGTTTCTCTCAAACAAGACTACAAGGCCAGATGTCTCCTCCACGTGTCCTAGAACTGCACAGGTCCTCAGCCCACTCCAAATGGGTGTACACTGTCTTATCTGTCTCCAACAGTGCTTGTCCTTGGAGGAATTACAGTACTGGGTTACTTGGATGGGAGTTCCTGCAGAGACTCAGTGCCAACATGAGGCTGTCCTGGTCTGGCGAAAGGGATATACACCTAGAAGTTAAACCAAGCACTGTCACAGTGCATTTAATGCACAGATATCTTAGAGAGTTTAGTTAATCTTGTGAAATGTGCCTGCAGGCAGGGTATAAAGAATACAGAGAGTCACCAAACAGGGGAACTTTTGATTCTTAAGTGCTAAGCCCTGTACTAGCTACCATTAACACTTATTGTGCAAAGCAAGCCCTGCAGTTCAGAGACACACTTCGGCAGCAAGCAGGACCGGATGGGGCAGTTTGGCCTCAGGGCAGCATATGCAAATGCATCACTTACCGTTGGGTACCAGAAGAATACTTTTGACAATGTTTTTCAGCGGGGCCAAGCTGATTTTATTCATGGTGGCAAAGTCTGAGAGCTGAGTGAGAAATCTTTCCACCTGCTCAAGAGAAAGAGCAGTGACTCAATCTTATCTCTGTTCCTGACCAGAGCTGCACTCAGACATCTCTGGGAGCTCTGCCTTACCTCCTTGGGCTCTGTCAGAAAGCGGAAGAGCACTTCAGTCAGCTCTGCGAATTGCTGTGAAGGAATGGGACAGTGTTAGAGTCGGCACACTGCCTTTCTCAGCACCTTGCCACCCCATCTCCACCACGATTAGGTGGCAATGTATCACCCTGACCCAGCTCCACCTGCATCCAGGACACTGGTCCCAGAGATGGACCTCCCGTGCTGGTGAGGCAGTCCTGTCCTTGGCATTGAGTGATGCCTGTGGAAGAGATTTGCCCACAGATGCCTTTCAGAGCCTCTCAAAGGGTCTGTGCAGCTGGTAGCTGGCACTGCACAAGGCTTTTGTGACTTGTGGCTAATCAGAAGCTGCTGTTCTTGTGCAATCCAAAAACTGTGAGTGGGAAAAGTTGTGAACATCTAGTCTCATGTTTCACAAACCACATGGGGTAACCAGGCTAACTCAGGAAAGGAAGAGAACTGGTTAAGGGTCTAGTTGATGCCTTCAGTTTTCTGAGCATGCAGCTGGAAGAGCTGGAGAGGCTGATGGTGGGGCAGAGCATCACCACCACCCTCCTCTGCTGACACCAGCACCAGAGCTGGCTGTGACCTTCTGGGTATGACCTGCTGCTCTGTGGCTGTACTGGCTCATCCTATCCTGCACTCAGCCGTGTAACAGAGATGTCACTGGGCTGTTACTGGGCTGATATCCTCGGTTCTGGTAAGCTGGGCTGAAAAGCCTCAGCACTTCCCACTAACTTCAGCCCAAGCTGAACTGGTCTGTCAGTGACCTGGAGGCAGATGGCACCAATGACCTCAAGCACCACTGGTTTGTTCAGGCCAGTGGTGGGGTGGGAATCTGGGATGGGAATCACAACCCAAACACTGTGTGGTCTCACCAGAAACCCAAGTGCTTGACAGGACCCACTGCCCACGGGGCACGACCTGAGCCCTCCATCAGGAGCTCTGCCCATGGCAGGCGGGTGAAACAGATGGTCATTCAGGTCCCTTCCAGCCCAATCCATGCCGGGGTTCTATGACCATCCTGCAAACAGCTCTGCTGTGCCCAGCTGGGCTGGGGCTGTACCGTCAGGCACGGGGCCATGCTCTGCCACCCTGCCCCGAGCACCGGGACACGCTGCTCCTCCTGCCCCGGGCACGGGGCCTGGAGGCCTGTCCGGGCTGGTCCCGGGACTGCGGACCTGGGGACCCGGTGGGACTGGCACCGGTGCTGCGGTGCGGGCCGGACCCAGCTCCCGGTGCGGGTCGGACCC